ATATATATATATATACAGGGAAAGGAAATGGAATAATGTCAGTAAGCACACTTTACATAGGTAAAACAATTTACATGATATAATCCCAGGCAACATTATTGTTCGAGTTTGTCGAAAACGCGCGTAACAACCGAAGGCTGCCTCACAAGTATCGCCGTGATCACGGGAAGTAAACCTATGCATTAAATACGTTATTTATTGGACTCACAACAACCACCATTGAGTATATACTCGACATTATGAAGGTCAGGGGATTTGAGTCGTACCGAAGGAAATTGTGGATTTATACAATTCCGCACTACTGTGGATAAAATTTTACCTCATTCTTTTCAGAAATTAGATTAGTAGGTGAAGTATGAATAATGTCCGAGAAACTAATATCTTCCCATGTGATATTGTGGTGAGTTTTGACCTTGATTCCTCACGTTCCATTCGTATGTCTGTTTTGTTTTACTCTTTGTATCAGGTAAACATAATACGAACGATATTAGTTTGTTTATTAGACATATCACACAGTGAAAGAGTATTACTTGCTGGATGACGTTTCGAACAAAATTTATTGTTCATAACCATATCAACTGTGATCACACGACTTTGACACTTGAGTTTCATAGCTTTATTTGTTTTCTCCTACTTTCCGTAGGGGTAGTAGAATTTTCCAGATATCTGGGACAGGTGATGAATTATTCCTATTACATGTATTTGCAGTTGACTCGATAAACAAAGCTTCTGTTATCAATCTCTCCCTATACCCTGTGACATTAGATTTTAAAACTGTCATCCTATCCCATCCATCTTATTGTATGGTTGTGTGTAACTGCATGTAGTGCTATAGCTGAACTATTCTCTAGATTTCTTATCTTATTTGGATCAACCAATCTAGATTTTGTTAAGTTTTTATGTTCAGCTAGTCTGACTGCCTCTGTTCTACTAGTTTGACCTATGTATTTGACTTAATGTCACAGGGTATAGGGAGAGATTGATAACAGAAGCTTTGTTTATCGAGTCAACTGCAAATACATGTAATAGGAATAATTCATCACCTGTCCCAGATATCTGGAAAATTCTACTACCCCTACGGAAAGTAGGAGAAAACAAATAAAGCTATGAAACTCAAGTGTCAAAGTCGTGTGATCACAGTTGATATGGTTATGAACAATAAATTTTGTTCGAAACGTCATCCAGCAAGTAATACTCTTTCACTGTGTGATATGTCTAATAAACAAACTTATATGGAATTAGTTACTACCACAGTACCCAAGTTTTACACATATGTTAATAATACTAACGACTTATTTGTTTGAGGGATTTTGTCATGACTGCTGCTTTTTATCTGAAATTATAGATAGACGCAAAACAAACATCAGGTGTAGTGTCCAAGCTCGTACATTAAATGGGCCCGTGATTTCTAAAGCTCTTACATGGGAACTAGCACTAGTATCACTTGCAAATTCTCTAGGTGTGTCATTAAGTAGCTTTTCAAAGGAGGCCAATGTGCTTACTAGCCACTTCTCCATTGGCAGTTTGTTCCATACTTGAGCATATCCAATGAAGTAAGACTTGCCTGGTGGTTGTTTTACATTGTTCTATAGCCACTGTACCTTTAGTGCGTCTTTGGTTATATTCAATGTCGCCTGAAAATCCAGTACTGTCAATGTAGTTGAAGAATGAACGATCAATTCATGGTTGTTTACTCAAAACCAAATCGATATTTTGGCGGGAATCATCGTTCCATCGTACGCTGTTCGTTGGAAGACGGAGAAATATCATCAGAGACTTTGTGTATAATAACCTTGAATTGATTGTTCATTCTTCAACTACATTGACAGTACTCGATCTACATTCCGTCTCACGTCCACTTAAGCCATCGAGAAATCATGATATAATTGACTTCATGCTTTTTCTGATACCTCTGAGGTTGGATTTGGAGCAGCCGTCTACATCAGAACTACCTGAAGGGAGGATATAAATGTTTGCCTCGTGATGGGTAAATATACAGTTGCACCTCTAAAGACTGTTTCGATTCCGAGATTAGAACTTACTGCAGCCTTGCCAGCTGCGCAGTTATTCACAACGGTGTAAGGAGTTAGATTATCCCATGTATCCTGTAACATTTTGGACTGATTCGATGCCTGTGATATATTATATACACAACGAGTCAGCAAGATATGCATGTTTTGTAGCTAACAGTGTCTCAAGTTCGTGAATTAACGGCCATTGAGCAATGGAGGTACGTACTGTCTGGAAAAACCCAGAATTGCGGGGAGTTATTGATATGAATGTGGTTAAAAATAAGTGATGGAAGGGTCCGAAGTTCTTGCTGCGAGCTAATAGTATGTGGTCCAGTAGAGAAGAGGAACAATCGATAAGTGAGTGTGCCTTGGAGTTTAAGACAAATGTCAGTTTAACATCTACCCAAGAATGACATTCGGGTTTACACCCACTTTTTAAATATTATTCTTCTTGGTGCAAATTACTGAAGGCTGTTGCGTGGTTGGCACAATATGTTACGTATTTAAAGGTCATGCATCTTGCAGGATACGATAATATGAATGTGGGACCTTTGAGAGTCGAAGATATTAGAAATGCAGAGTTAGCGATTTTGAGGGCTGCTCAGTGGGAAGCGTGGGGTGAGATAGCCAAGGTGGATAGTCCCGATTACGCAGATTACGCGGTTAGACTGATTATCTCCGATAGTTTCCTAGGGGATCGCTAGAATTGGTGGATGTCTACAAATGTTAGAATCGTCATATGAGACCCATCATCCGACCTTATTATCTTGCTACCATCCAGTCACTAATCTCATTATAAGGCACCACGATGTTCTTGAAGGTCATTTGGGTTCTTCACAAGAACTATCGAGTATTCGGTGCAAGTTTGGGATGGTGAAAGGAGGTACTGCTGTCCGTAAAATAATTGATAAGTGCATGGAATGTAAGCTAAGGAATGCTCACTCAGCACAGTAGATGATGGCACCACTCCCAGCGTGGCAAGTTTCTAAAGGAAATTATCCAATCGAGTATGTCGGAGTGGATTTGTTCGGACCTTTCGTAGTGAATAAAGACAGAACCTTATGCAAAAGATATGGCTGTTCACTCACCTGTTTGAAAATGAGAGCTGTGCATATTGAGATGGTTCATACGTTAGCTAATGATACATTCGTTCCAGCATTTCTTAGACTTATAAATCGGCGAGGTACACCGAAGGTAATGTTTGTTGACAGGGGGAATAATTTTGTTGGCTGTCACGCCGAGCTTAAAGAGTATTTCGAAGGTCCTCAAACGAGAGTTCATGGAGAGTTATTGAAAAGAAACACCGAGTGGCACTTTAACCCACCACATGCCAGCCACAGAGGTGGGCTATGGGAAAGACTTATAGGAATTATTAAGCGTATTTTAAGCTCCAAAATTAAAAACCAAAGTTTGAGCGACGAAACCTTGGGGACATTTTTATGTGAAGCTGAGCGAATACTAAATGACCAGCCGCTATTACCTGTGAGAGACGACGTCAAGGATTTCGATGTGTTGACTCCAGATAAATTATTTTTATTGGGAGGCAACCCTGGCATAGGGTATTTGAGTGCGGAACGAATACCTATGATTAAAAGATGGAAACAAGCCAGGTACATGAAAGATATATTTTGGAAAAGATGGTTAAAAGAGTATGTTCTAACAATGCGAACAAGAGACAAGTGGAAAAAGTTGTGCAGAAACTTGAAGGTCGGTGATATAGTCTCAGTAGATGGTCTTTGGGAGTGGTAGAAAGGATACTCTGTAGTGGTGATGGGTTGGTGAGGACGGTCGAGATGAGAACGAGTTGTGGCATGTTGGTGCGAGATATTAGGAAACTGTCTGCTAGAAGGTGCTGAGAGTAGAGAGTCAGAGGATGGACCACTTGACGACTTTCCAACTTAGAATCGTCAACCTGAGGGGGTTGCGGGCGTACTGGTGTAAGTCATCAGATTCTTCAAAGGAATTACATCAAGACATGGTCTGCGAGGTTAGTGTACTGTTTGCATATATGCATAGTGTGTAGCATCAATTGGTGTTTTTGGATTAGCCGTGTTTACTTGTTGTTTTCGTATTTTGTTGTATTGTATAATTTTGTTGAAATTTTCGTCGTGCTTACTTCCGAAGTTGTTTTGAGTCTTTTACATCTGTGAATGAATTGATTGATGTTAAAGGCAGCAGATAAGTCTTATACGCCGGGGAGACTAGTGCTGAGAATGACATGCACACATAGACACGGATTAGCTGTGGAATCAATGATTGAGAATGAATGTTTCGATTTAGGCTGTGGTCCCATATGCCGGGGAGCGAGAGTGTAGACGACTGAGGATTTCATATGTCACCGTTACTAGGAGTGAGGCAGAATGAGTGACAAGTGATAGCAGTGATAGATAAGAGGATGTGCGAAGGGTATCATGAGATGTTGCTATGGTCATATTGCTTTCTGCAAGAGTCGTTCTAGCAAGATGTGTTGCAAGTTGTCAAGAGGATGCCTTTAACTAAGAGGCGTAGGTCGTTGTCGATGAGTGAGATTGTCCTGTGGGTATGCCTGTGGTGTGTTGGCTTTGTTTTCCATTTCAGCTTTGTCCTTGTGGTCCAGGTTCCCGCACTGGCATCCAAGTCAACGTATATTGGTTGTGATTGAAAAAGGGGATGGATCCCTTTTTTGCCGGGTAGTGTCAATGTAGTTGAAGAATGAACGATCAATTCATGGTTGTTTACTCAAAACCAAATCGATATTTTGGCGGGAATCATCGTTCCATCGTACGCTGTTCGTTGGAAGACGGAGAAATAGTATCAGAAGTATTATTGTGATTATTTGTTATGACATTCATTCTTAGAATTTGTGTATCATAACCTTATTGTTGGTTCCATATTGGTGCAATAATAAAGGATTCTGGAGTCACTAATGTGTTCTGATTTTCGCGCTGGTTCTTGCACATTGTTGCTAAAGGCCTTCTAAGGACAGTGTTAAGTCCAGTGTAGTCAGACCTGGAAATTGACAGTCTTTGATAGCTCCTGGAATTATTCGCTGTATTTGTTGGCAATTCGTCTTTCCCCGTGTCTGCAAGTTTTTTTGGACGAGTGTTATTCGGAACTTCTCTGGATCGTTAACGTACCAAATTTGGTAACGTTCAATAATGCCTAGACCAAAGAAAGGTCGAAGCGTTTTGACGTTTGCCTCCAAAACGTTTCGACCTTTCTTTGGTCTAGGCATTATTGAACGTTACCAAATTTGGTACGTTAACGATCCAGAGAAGTTCCGAATAACACTCGTCCAAAAAGACTTGCAGACACGGGGAAAGACGAATTGCCAACAAATACAGCGAATAATTCCAGGAGCTATCAAAGACTGTCAATTTCCAGGTCTGACTACACTGGACTTAACACTGTCCTTAGAAGGCCTTCAGCAACAATGTGCAATAACCAAGGTGAAAAAAACAGATTAGTGATTCGAGAATCTTCTCAATGTCAAGTATATACTCAATGGTGGTTGTTGTAAGTCCATTAAATAACGTATTTAACGCATAGGTTTACTTCCCGTGATCACGGCGATACTTTGCGGAATATATCAGAATCGCAGAATAATCAAACCCCACACGAAGTGGAATTCGCTGAACCCGCACGGCAAACAATCTGCAGTACACATCTGTATATTCATCCACATGTTGATCATGCCTACAAATCCAAATCACTAGCTATACAGCGCCAACTAATCGGGATATCTGTGAAATAATGAGAGTCTGCTGACAGTTGCATTTCGAATCTCAGTGACTAATTTGATGGTGATATTCTGCTCCTCCAAGCTTCACTCATCAATTTGAAAGGTTCAGTTCGCAGTCATTCTGGTTCCTGACCGAAATGAATTAAAAGATCCACCGATTGCTGATTCCTTAATGCTTATTTGCACGTTAAGCTGCACACTCACTTCTGTGGTGAGCCTGTTGCAGAATACATTGCTGAAAACATTATTGTCGATGAACTAACTGGCGTTTTACAGGCCATTTGTATTCTTTTGTAAACAGACCACTGTACCGACCACATGTGAGGCAGCCTTCGGTTGTTACGCGCGTTTTCGACAAACTCGAACAATAATGTTGCCTGGGATTATATCATGTAAATTGTTTTACCTATGTAAAGTGTGCTTACTGACATTATTCCATTTCCTTTCCCTGTATATATATATATATATCTTGTGTGAGTGAATATTGTAAATATGCTTACTCCGTGTATATATTACTTGTCATTTTGATGATGCCTGTAAACTGGCGTCCCTCATGTACATAAAGCTGGAATATATTATTGTTATACACTGCGTATGCATTCTATTATTCCGAGGAGCTTATGACAGCTCTTGTGTGTGTGTTGTATATGTACTCGGGATGGTGGATTATCGATCATGGATGCATGATAATGTTGTGTACAACTTCGCAGTTCCCGAGGACTTTCACCTAAATGTAGGCATTTTATTGGTTGACTATAACTGTCAGTCGAAAGCGAGACGGAGTTTGTTTTGGCACTCAAGCTTGATGGCGACCTAAGTGAACAGTTTAGCATATGTGGAAACCAGTTCCGGTTGTTTCTACTACTTAGACTTCTGAAAAAGTACTTATGATACTCCACCATTGCAATTTATAACCTGTCTTATTGTACCCGTGAAAGTGGCACGCATTGCATGTTAACTTACCCTTTTATACAAAATATAAAGTATTAAATTAGAATTGGCCCGTTGATCTAGTTTGCCTGGGTCTACTATCTGGCGGGAAATGTTCCCTATTGAACGATCTACTCTGTCTGCCTTGTGCTAGCTGTTTGCGTTAGTGACCAAACGTTGGCCAATAGTTCTGGGGTTATTAGGTCTTTTCTCACACTGATATGGTTCACTCACCCTATTGTAAATCGTCTCCTCCCAACATTCGGTCCCCAGTGCGTGCTAGCTGTTTGAAAGAAAAGTCGGGATCTTGCGCGTACAGTATCTGCTGCACATCCTCCTGTAGGGCTTCCATTCAAACTTGCTTCAGTACAGCCTATCATGCTGCTCCCTACAAGCTGTTGAACGTGGATCAAGAACTGTGATCGGGATGTATCTCTATGTTCTCTCCGTCAGGAAAGTTTTGTACACGATTGTTTTCTGACATGGAGAGACGTTTTATCACCTTGCGTTTAAACACTGGGCATTGTGGGGAATTATGTATGAGGTTCCGCACCTGCTCGCTGACCTCACAACGTAACTGAGAACACCCTGTCGTTTCAGACCTAGTGCTGTACCGGTGAAAGTAGTGCTCTAGTTTAGCAAACCATAGTTCTGTGTCAGGTTGATCAAATTCTGGAAATCTAAGTTTGGTAGCTCCTGGGGAGTACACAACCACAGAAGTAGAGTTTTCAAAAGAGTTTATGCTGAGCTTGTGGGACCTGAATAATGTGAACGAAATAGGTTCATCTATATGTAAACTGAGTGCTATCGAAATAATTGTTCAAACTACCGACCGATGTAGAAGACCAGTAGTACTTATAAACCTTTATTTTCGAAAGTATTGCACAGGGCAAGTGAAGCGGGGAACACCTAGTCGACCACATGGAAGGTCAATTTTAGGAGATCAAATAAGTTCGTTAATTAACTGCACTTCGGCGGTTCCAACATCAACGATCAATTTGTTTATCCGTGCGAATTGAAACAGTATGATTTTCAAGGGATACGAGGTCGCCAGCTTCGTTGTGGTGTGATAATCTACCTGTACATTATGGTTGGAGACGACATCAGGAAAGTCCGCTGTAGCCAGAAGGCCAGTCTCCGGAACTGAAAATAGTATTTTTCGTACGTAATAACCAACTCGATTTCAAAGCAAGCAGTATTCAGAGACGGACGATAAGTCGATAATTTGCTGGTCAACCAAATACAAGCCAATATAGCAAGTCAATTACGCAGCAGCTTGGTCATGTGATCAACAACTGGGTACTACTAATACTCTAACAAAGTTGCTGATCGTATTGCTCCGGTCTTTTGTGAAGGAGCAGACGTTTAAGTCCCAACAGAGTCTGTTGCCTCCAACGGACAGGAAACTGGTTCGAATAAACATGGTCAAAAAATACATCTCTTGGCAGCTGTAGGTGTTATATTCTGCCTTCGCTAGTTGGGATGGTTTTAAGGGCAGCCTGGCTACCAGGTTAGGTGGGTCAGTCTAAACAGTCAGCAGGTAGTGTGGTTAGTAGTGCTCAGGCCTAGCAGGGTTCGTAGCCACGGGTCAGCAATCACGAGCGTTATTTCTAGTTGAAGCCAACTAGAAGCGATCTCGAGTCTGTGTAAGTAGTCTAGCGGGTTGGTTTCCCAGACATTCGTCAATCACTAGATAAGGAGAGCCTTAAAAATAATAGAGAAGATATATTTTCTATTTGGTCGCTCGTCCTATGCTTCCAAGTTCCTCAGTTATCTACTGCATCCGAGTGGCTGTAGCGAACCGTTTTATATAGGCCCTTCATTAGCCTCTCCCTATAATCTACTTTCTGAAGAATGTTGTTGCAGAGGTGCATCTCTGGTTTCACATCGAGTTCACTTAGTGGGTATGACGTCAGCTGACAAGTCGTTAGATGTAATCTCCACATCATCAAGATGCTGAATACATGTAGTACATCTGCACGGAACAGGTTAAGGCCATTAATGTAGTACTATTAGCGGAAATGTAACAATGCCATTCGTCAACTTAGTTTACTACTGAATTTGCTATACCAGAGTGGTTAGTATCAGTCGTTTCGAAGTTTTGTGCATCTTCTACTGCTACACAGTAGTCAATATCTGCAAACTAGTTTTTGTCAATAGCAGGTTCATCTAAAATCAGTTAGCAGGTGTTTATCGTTCGTGTCTCTTCAGCCTAAGCCCAAAACTCCCTTATGTGTTTTTGCCTTGAAGGTCTATCGAGGTTACTGGTTTTGCACTCAGTCGACAGATATCTCCAGACATTGGAATTGATGCTTTATACCAAGAAAGTCTTGACGCTGTTTCGTTGATTTCTCATTCTCTGCGCTGGTGCCATGGTTATTTTTATCCCTAGAGGTTGACCACTTGGTATATTCCGCAGGAGTGTCTGTGGGTTTCATCTTGAATAGTGTCTGACACACTCACACTAGATTAGGAGTTTGACTTACCACCCGGAAACGAGAACTTAGTGGAGACAATGTTAAAATTGGTTAAGTGGAGAGAGAAACTACTTGAGGAACTACTGAGAGCGGCCTACCCAATACCTCGCCGGTGCAGTAGGATTTTACTTGGTTCTGACTGACGAACAGGTGTTTACTCAGCTGCCCATGCAACACAGAAAAAGGAGGCTCTAGATAAAGAAGCAACCAACTTCACTGCACACTGAAGAGTGCTTCACTGCCCTAAACAAGGAGAGATATAAGGAATTGGTGAGTATAGTAATAAAAGTTAATATCCTGTAAGAATGCTTCTAATATATGGAAAATTTTCAAAGAAATTACTGGTGGTAAGCAGATGAACAGTATTCCTTATTCCCTTGATGTTTCCAAACTAAACAAGTCCTTCATACATTCTCCCACAAATGCCAAAATTCCTAGTGTTGCAAGTGTTAATGAAATCTGCTTCCCTGGTTTTAATACAAATGATGTTCTAAAATGTCTCCAGTCTCTGAACCCTTCTTGTAGCCTGGGTCCAGACGGTTTGCCTAGTGTTATTCTTAAAAAGTGTGCAGATATCCTGTGTTATCCTCTCATGGACATATATAACGAATCTTTTTCCAAAAATGTCGTGCCAGCCGTTTGGAAGGACATTAAAATTGTACCTATACCTAAGTCGTCTACTGCAACATGTTTTAAATTTAGACCCATTGCTATTACTTCCCCTTTTCTAAAAGCTGTGGAAAAATTACTCTTAATTAATCTTCAACCTTCACTTAAAGCCTTTAACGATCCTAAACAATTCGCCTATAAACACAGTAGAAGTACTTTAGATGCAGTTGCAGTCTTGTATCATAACATTGTCTCCAGCTTAGACAAGGGGGCTAAATTTGTTCGCTGCACCTTCCTAAATTAGACATCTGCTTTCGACTCAGTACCTAGGAACATTTTGTTAAACAAGCTTGCTGAAACTCAGACAGACTGTTGGGTTGTCAAATGACTGCATTCTTATTTCTCAGGAAGAAAGCAGTACTCTGTATGTCAGGGAAAGTCGTCCAC